ACACACAACATAAAAATAGAATATAGCATTTCCAAAGTGCAGGAAGAGCCCATTGTTCAAAGGTTACAAAACATGGCACGCAGGCCAGAGACAACTACATCAAATATGGAACGCAGGCCAGAAAAAATAAATACAACAAAGACACTAAACTACTTCATCTTCCTCGGGTTGGTCTCCCATCACAGCTTGGCCATCGTCATCCTCCTTGACTTCTGGTGCGACCACGCGACCCTCGGCAACCTGGTGACAAAGGCATATCCCTTCAGTGACGAACTAAATGTCCAGATTCACGATCCAGAGCTGCTCCATAGTGAAGTTAAAACCTACCTCAAGAGAACCTATACAATCTTGCTCGACCTCTCGGATCCTCGACACCATATCAGCCTAAGGCGCTAGGAGCCTCTTCTCGAAAGACTCGTCCTCAGTAGGCTTGACTTTGGTCTCTAGCTCGGCCACCTTAGTCTTCAGTCGATCATGTTCCTCCTTCACCCCCTTCAGCTCTTTAGTCATCTCATTCATCTCGTGGAGGAGGCGTACGTGATTCTCGTACCTCGTCTAGGCCTCCTACAAGTCGCTCTCCACTTTGTTCTTCTGTGCTTCGAGGATAGTATTCGCGCCGCATAACTTCTTTAGGTCGGAGATAAGGATTATTTCGTCATTTAAGACCAAGGTCGTCGAAAATATCCTCATTATGAAGACCATGTCATCGGTTAGTGTCTTCCTCTGGGCCGCCCGATCGATTTTCATAATCTCCTTGGTCTCTGCCCCGACCATCATCAGAGAATGGCCCCTAGAGTGGCAAGGAGGTAGCACAAACTTCTCAGTGGGCATGCTCTCCTCGAGGTCGACCAGCACATGACCCTCGGTACACCGCCTTTTCGATGAGATATCTTGAGCAGGAGGGGACTGGCTGCACTGAGGAGAGGAAGAACCGCCTCCCTGGTCGGGCTTCCCCATCTGCTGGACTTGGCAAACTCTGCTCTTTCTTTTCTTCTCGGCCTTTGTCGCTGCGAGCTTCAAAATGTGTTCTTACGCGTTCGACATCTGACCTGCAAGAAAAAGAGAAACAAAAGTCAGTAACAAAAGAAAAGGGGTAGACACTCTGCCAAAAGAAAGTGTCATTACCTAAAAACCTCAAGGCCACCTCGCGGGACCCGCACTCAAGGAGAGTCTTGGTATTGATCAGTCGAGCATCACGATAGATCTCCATGCGCTCGTCGAGGATGAAATTCCCATCCTTCGTAACACACTTGGCGGGGGTGAGGTCGGACACAAAGTCGACCACTTTTTGGTAAGCCATCCGGTTGTCAGCATCCAGATCGGAAGTGGTCTGTACCCAGGAGGAAGTGGTCCTCGAACGACTCAAGTGGAAATTTCGATACTAAGGTCTCCTCGGGCCTCCCATTCTCTTTCGTGATTGTAAGGTCGTACAATGAATCGACAGCCGCGTGCGATACGAGCTTCACGGTATAAAACCTGTCATTGAAGGAGCAGATAAAATCTTGGTATGCCAGGAACAACCTCTTCGGCTGCTTCAAGGATACCCAACTGTGCCTGCCTCGAAAGATTGACGTTGAAGGTGGAAGGTATGGAAGAGTAGATGAAGGGTGGCCCTAATATGAAGATACTCGCAGACGAGCTCAAATGCCCGTACGAACGCTATGGCATTTGGGTGCAGCTGCAAGGGTGCCAGACGGAACCATCGGTAGATGCCCCTTTGGAAATTGCTGATGGGGAGACGCATCCCCGCCTCGCAAAATGAAAACTCGTACATAGAAAACCTCATCTCCCAGAAGCTCGAGTAGATGTGGTGCCTTTCTTTGGGTTTGTACACCATCCAGCTCGCCGAGGAACCTTCCAGGCGGTCTTAGACAGTCGCGAAGGCGTCTATATCATCAATGACGAAGCACACGACTATAGTTAGAGGTTCCTGCCCAGCCCAGTCCGCGGGCGTACGAACGGGTGCAGCCCTTTCGACCTTGACGAGAGTGTCGGGCTCGGGCTCATCATCTACATGGATAATGCCTTTGATCCTTACAACCATTTTACCTGAGCAGAGGAAAACGATGAATTTGACTCCAAGATCAAATCCATCCTTCCATCGCGAGTCAAGTGAAAGGGCGAAGAGAGAGACGGGGAAACCCAGGCACAATGGGCCCCCTCCCCGACGAAGGCTCCTCCTAAAATGAAATCAAAGACAACTCTAAGCGGCAAGCCTCCCCGATAGCGAGGCTCCCCAATCGAGGTGACCCCGACACACATTGGAAGATCTTGATGAACCTCCCTACGAAAGCCACACACTTGGGAGGAGCTAAGCTCCTCAAGGCATTATCCTAGCTCCACGGGACCTTCATCGCAGGTCCATGGGACATTCATCGGTATCTTCATGAAGATCCCAGAATCCTCATGAAGTTCCCAACATCTTCGTCAGAAACTTCATATCTTGGCCGAAAACTTCATGAGACACACCAGAAAATTCATAGCTTCACCGGAAAACTCATAAAACTACACAGAGGAGGTGGAAACTTACTTGTGATAGGAGGATCTGGATGACGGATATCAGTGAAGGAAGCGGAAAGGCGACAACGATGATGAAAGCTTGGAGAGGATTCTGGTAGGGTTGAGGAGTGAATATGCAAATGAGAGAGGGCTCTCCCCCTATTTATAAGCCTGTGATAGGAAGCGAGGCTAAACTAGGCACTCCATAGCCCCTACGTGTAGTCGCCCCTAGGCATTAATTACAAGCGACACCTTCCGTAGATCACAGGGCAGTTGATTCAAGGCAAAGACGACATGCTGGTCTTCACTACACCACGTAAGCCCTGGAAGTTACTTATGTTGGGCTTGACAATCCGTCCCACTGCAATCTAACTGTTGACCCTATGCTGAGGAAGCATTATAAATATCCTCTTTCACTAGAGGATCAGGTATTCTATTCACTACACCTTTTCTCTGTACTTGCTCCCTCTCTAGTTCCTTTACTCACTTAAGCATCAGAGTATCTTGTAGGTACACTCCTTTTCTCCTCTATAACACCGGTGAAGGCAGCAATTCACGACGCGTGACAGGCTACTGATTCCTTTTTGATCAGGTGATATCACTTATCAATCACTAAATTTGAATATATCTCCCTCTCGGAAGCTGCAAAAGAAGCATTATGGCTTGAATGTTTTGCTAAAAAGTTGAAACTTCAAGGTCGAGTTACGACTGTTGAATGTGATAGTCAAAGTGCTATAGACCTGTCGAAGAATACAACTTATCATGAGCGAACCAAGCACATCGATGTGAGGCTGCATTTTGTCAGAGGGGTAATCGAACGTGGAGAAGTCCAAGTGCTGAAGGTTTTGACAGATCACATTGATGTTGATATAACCACGAAGACATTAACAAGTTGCATTTTTCCCACTGTATGCAGTTGATAAAGCTGCATGAAGAAAGCTAGTTTGTTCCCTTGATGTTATAGAGTTTGTTCCAAGGTAGAGATTTGTGAGATATTGGATCGAACTCTAGTATGGTCGAATAGTAGCTTCTTAGTTCGACAATTCGGAAGAATCTTAGCATGTTGTCGAAGTATGTTCACATGTTATAGTCGAAGTATGCTATGAGTGTTAACATGTCGAATTAGACCTTGGTTGTAAGCCCAATTATTTAAGTTAATTTGTTCTCTAAGTTAGCTTGTGTAATGAGTCTGTGTGTAAAAGCCTATTAGATTAGTATGTTAATTTTCTTATAAATAACATGCTAGACTCTCACCTTTGGGGTGTGGTGCAAATTTTAATTAGGGTGAGAGAGGTTATTTGTTATTCTGTAACACTTGTAATCTTGTCTCAAAGAGAAAGTAAAGAATAACAATTTATAACTAATTTCATTGTGTTCTTATTTTCTTCTTTTTCCTACTCTTGCAAATTTTTTATTGACCAAAAAACCGATTATACTTTGTTAGTTCGGTATCGTTTTTCACAACATTATACTCATGTGTTATTCGTGAATTGTGATAAGTGGTGTTTAAATCCATGAAACACAATATAAACCGTCCAATTATCATATTTTAGTTGACTTTAAATCTTCCTTGTGTCTCACGACACTCGTAGACCCTAGTAAATATGACAAGGATTTAACTCTTTTATGATCAAGAAACTCGTTTAATTTTGTTTCGACTAGGGAAAATTGGACTAATGATGATATCCAAGATAGCTGTTATTTAAGTCTAGATTTATAATTTAATTTGCTAGTTTAGATTTAGTTTTAGGTGTTATTTTTACTATATTTTATTCAAAAACTGAAATAGTTATTCAGGTTTTGATTTCTAGGTGAATTTAGTTATTTAATAAGTTTTAATACAAACATAAATAAATCAAATAACTATAGTAGTTCAACTATCCATTCATTCGTCTCATTACAACAACAACAACAAAAAATGATGCCATGGACTTCTTACAAGTTACGAAAACTATAGTATCTTACATTGAGCAAAATGATCCAAGTCTAAGAAGAGTAATAAAAATTAGGCAACCAAATTTGATAAATTTAACTTCCATTAAATTAGTTTTGTTCTAATATAATTATATATTGATGACTCCCATCCAACAGAAAGCAACCAAATCCTCAGCTCTTACCATCTTTTGAATCCTTCACGTCTCCTCTTGCTTCATAATATTGCATGTATTAATGTATTCATTTCAATTCAATGCATAGAATATGCAAAATCTACATGAGAGATGAATATCCAAATGATTGAACAAGCACACAAGTCAAAAGCTAAACAATAAAATAATGTCCTTGTATCATTTTAAAACATATCTTAGTGTTGAAAAATCATGAAACCCTCCATAAACCTAGCTGGTCAATGTATTAATAAACAAGTTTCCAACTCATTTAATCACATTAAAGCAAAACCTTAGCTGTCAAATACCCTTCACACACTATATCTATAGCTTTATATAACTTCACTCATGATATATATTCCTTTACCTCTTCATGATATATATTTCTTTACCAACATGGAGAATATTCACGTTCGTAATAGTAGTGAAGATACTATTCTTGAGAATGTTTGGGCTAAAATTATAAGCAATGATGATGGAAGAAGAAATGGAAATGAAGGAGAATGTTCTAAGTCTAACACATGGGAAGATTTGCCTAATCTTGGTGAAAGAGGTAGTGGGTCAGTTGAAATTCTTCAAAGACTACCGAGTTTAGGAAGATGGATATCAATGGGAGCTGATTTTTGGGAAGAAGTTTTAAGCAATACAGAAGATTTTTCTAGCAGCAAAAGCATGGAAAAAAATGAAAGTGTTAGTACATCAAAGAAAAAAGTAGAAGAAGTTGTTGTGCGAAAAGAGAGAAAGAGAGATGAAAAACATTATAGAGGAGTAAGGAGAAGGCCATGGGGTAAATACGCAGCGGAGATAAGAGATTCGTCGAAGAAAGGTGCGAGAGTTTGGCTTGGTACATTTGATAAAGCTGAAGAAGCTGCTTTGGCTTATGATAAAGCTGCTTTGAGAATTAGAGGCTCAAAAGCATGTCTTAACTTCCCAATAGAGAGAGTTACAAATACAAATACAAATACAAATACAAACAGTGAAAGGTTATTGGATTCTAGGAAGAGAGGGTTAAGGGACAGTGAAGAGTTTGTTGATGTGATGAATATTGAAGAGCCTGTAACAAAGAAGATGGTAGGGTTGGAAGAAAGGTTGGAAAATGATGTTTTTGTATTTCAGGACTTGGGAGTTGATTACTTGGACAGTTTGTTGTCTTCATTTTGACAGAATGAAAATTACATTATTATTTATTGCATATATATTTGTATATTTTGTTATATTTGTTATCAAAGATATTTTGTTATGCTGCATGGAAACTAAATTGGAAATTGCAATCATGTTTGCAAATCAAACTAGTGAAGCTTGCTATCCATGGATTTGTTAAAGCATTTCCATCAACATTGAGAATCATGGAGTCATAATTGAGGATACATCTCTTAAAGGGTGACCATGAGAATAAGAGGAGTCACCACCAAAAACTTGCTAAGAAAGGTGAAATTGGGCCAAAATAGTCGCGATTATAGAGTGCAAGATTAGTTGAACATTATCGAAAACTAGTTTATTCCTAGTACATCAAATGTTCAGTTGGGAAAAATACAAATTAGAATACACATAATACAAAGTCAATAGAACAAGAATAATATCTCTTTTGTAAGTTTTTGAGAATACTAAAAATAATTATTATAGTCTTACATATACAAAAAGGTAACTAAATTTTCTTTTTTAATTACTTTTCTTTGAAAAGATTTTCTTTCAATACGTTGTTATTAATCTTAGTATACAAGGTAATGAAAACAAAAGGAATGAGAGAATATCCATTGCTCTGCAATAATGGTTATAAAAATTGTAATAAAGATGATGAAATAAATGACAATTATCATTAGTCTATTTATACACAGATATTATGGCCACATAGACAACATACTAAAATACTAAATTACCCTTCAATGTCATCCCTTAATTTAGGATTTTCTAATCAAAATTAACAACACAAATTTCATTCTTTAAGTGGAGAAATTGATCTGTCTTGATCGCCTTTGTCAGAACATCTACCAGCTGCTTCTGAGTGCTACAGTGCACAACTTTTAGCACTCCATTATGGACTTGACTTCTCAGAAAATGATGCTTTGTCTCAATATACTTGCTTCTCCCGTACAGAATTGGATTCTTGAAAAGATTCATTGCAGACTTATTATAAATCATCAATTTCATAGGCTTGCTTACTTTGATCTTCAGATCTTGCAGCAAATTCATAAGCCATACCACTTGACATGCAACTACAACACCTGCGATGTACTCAGCTTCACACGTTGACAGTGCAACAACAAGTTGCTTCTTATCTTAGAATTGTTTGGTTGAGTTGAACACGTGTTGGTGGCTGCCCCACACTTTTTCCTCCCTCTTTTCTTTGTGTGTGCTTCTTAGGATAACACCATTCTTCTTTGATGATTGACGATTGATGGTTGTAGGAGCTTGCTTCTCCCATTTAGTCTCATCCCTTGTTGACTTGTTTAAGTTGACTTGTTCTTGTGTTTGAGTCTCCTTTGTTATTGAGTCTTCTTGCATTTATGTTTGCATCTCTTATTGCATTGACTTGTTTAAGTCACTTTCATCCTTCATTTCTTTTCATCTCTGATTGAATTGCTATGTGTTTACTTATGCTCTTTTGCCATGATCCCTTAGGATTCCTAGTCCCTCTGTTTAAGATGGGAGTATGAGAGACATTAGACTTTCAATCCTTTGCATGATAACATTAGGTAGTTCCCTTTTCAATCCCAACTTTAGGATCACATTGCATGATAAAATTAGGGTTGATATGTTCCCCTTAGAGTCTTCTGTCTTCTCTTCTCATCTAATAACTTCATAAGACACTTAATAAAGGTTAACAAGTGTTGTACACTACGAGCCTTAAGTACTTGAGGAATGATAGGTGGGGGGTCTCCTCTCACATTGTCTAGAGTGTTTAGCGTATGCCCTTTGGGCGATATGTGACGCATTCGCTTTCAAGTCATAGTCCTTAGTGCAACATGAGTTTCAAATCTAACTCAATTCACTTCTTCTCATAAAAAATACAAAATAAAACATCAAATCTTTTTATCCTTCGGGATTGTTTGCATAATCATTTTCAGAAAGAGTGTGTTAAGTTTTTGTTCTACCGCAAACATGCATCGTCCCTAACTGCTAGAACGAAGATTTAACCCTACTAATTAAAACACTTGAACCAACCAGTGGTCTAGTTTAGCCCGAACTATGTTTGCTCTGATTTCTCATACCAGATAAGGATACGTAGGCACAAGACGGAGATGTCTTGGCGAGCAACCTTCCCCCATCTTCACCCGTAGTTTTCCGAACTACGTTGACTTTGACTTTCCCATTGCACGAGGGAATACGTAGGCATAGGGAGGCGATGTCCTATCGAGTCTTTTCTTTTCTTTCACCCCTGTTTACCAGCCTTTTAGATAGATTTTACACCCATAGATTAGACAACAAGCGTGGATCCCGTTGAGTACAACGGACGTGAGGGGTGCTCATACCATCCCATTGCGTAACCGACTCCCGAACCCAAGATTTGGTTGCGATGACCTTGTCTTTTCCTTTTTCGTCAGGTTTTCTTTGATCCTTTTCCTTTCCCTCTCTTTAGGATAAATAACGTTCGGTGGCGACTCTTCTGTCAGTTAGCCGGCCCTTTTTCGCAGTAGCGACACCTTGACTTTGAGACATCATAACTTGAGTTCTACACGCCCAATGGAGGAGTTCTAGTACTCGAAACAAAGCTTGGAGGATGCTCTACAACTTTCATGATGGAGGAAAATTCATTTGAAGCTTGGATCACCATGAAAGATGGGCTTGAAAACATGTATCTCAAGCTGAATTTTTATACTTAGAAAAAATTCTAAGTATTCAAATCACAAAATCTTGATTTTCTTAATTTTAGCTCTCCATATCTCTTAATCTATCAATATTTTGGACTTACTTTTTTCTACGAACTTGTAGTTCATGATGTCTTCTTTAATTTGATAACAAGTTTGCTCTAATTGGATCAAGGATGAGAAAGTTATGTATGTTGTAAAATGGCTAGAATTAGGGTTTTCTACACTTATAAAACATTTCAGCAAAACCCTAATCCAACCAAACTCATGATTTTATGTTTCTCATTGATTCTTCTTGTTCCAAACACATGAAAACACTTGAGAGGACATAACATGCCCTTGATTGACCTTGAAAACCAAGACTTTGACCTTATGGAGCCACAATTGACTTTTCTTGATCAGATGAAACCCTAACACCCTATCCATTGATTGAAGCTCATGATATGACTTGTGATGAAACATAATACATGTAGATAACCCTCAAGATGTGTATTGAGCCATAGAACCTTGTCTTGCCCATGAAGGTAGCCACATATGCCTTTTGACCAAAACCCTAATCCAGTTGTCCACAAGATAGAAGAATATGATCAATGCTTATAATCTTAATTCAAATGATTGTGAGCCATAGAACCATGTCTTGCCCATGAAGGTAGCCACATATGCCTTTTGACCAAAACTCTAATCCAGTCCACAAGATATGAGAATATGACCAATGCTTGTAATCTTGATTCAAATGATTGTGAGACATATCGGCCTTGAGGCATGAGAATAAACCCTTTCTTCAGATTTGATGATCACACACTTCCTTTTGAGATTCAAACCAAGATATCCTGATCCCTTACTTAGAAACAATGCTATGTACAAATGATGATGCAAATGAAACTTAAGCCAAGAGATAAGAAAAAGATAAGACAAATTTTGGGGTGTTACAAAAGCCAATATATATCAGAGCCATATTTTACTGTACAGAGTCTACACAAATTTAGAAGATTTTGTTTTATTCTGGACAAAGTTCCATTTTTCAGAATTTTTAGAATAAAAACAAATTTATCTTCAGCAAGGTGTTTTGTAACGATGTCAACCCATTGATGATCTGTATCAATCGATTTTAAATTAATCACACTCTTATGAACATAATATCTTATAAAATAATGTTTGATTTCAATGTATTTATTTCTGGAGTGCAAAATATGATTTTTTTGATAACCAAATTGTTGAAGTATTATCATAAAGAATATGAATGTTACTCTCATATAGCTGATAATTTTTTAGCTGACTTTTCATTCAGAGAATTTGAGTGCTGCAACCAGATGGCGCAGAAGTATTCAGCCTTTGTTGTTAACAATGTTATTGTTGATTTCCTATTGCTGGACCAAGAAATCAGATTGTAACTTAGAAATTGACACCTTCCAATGGTGCTCATCCTTTCTAGTATATCTTTAGCATAGTCAGCATAACAATAACCTACTAACTTGTAATCTTTGATTTTTTATAAAATGAACCAAGATAAGTAGTACCTTTTAGATACCTAAAGACCGTCTTAACAACTTCCAAGTGGGATTCTCTAGAAATTTTATTGGAATCTAGCATAAAGATATACGCTAAATAAAATATCAAGTCTAGAAGTAGTTAAATATAAGAGAGATTTAATCATACCTCTATATACCTTTTGTTCTACCTGTTTGCTTTCATCTTTCTCCAAAATGCATGTTGGATGCATTGAAGTCTTGGCTGGTTTAGACTCTAACAAGTCAAACTTCTTCACAAGTTCCCTTGTATATTTGCTTTGATAGATATATGCTCCTTCTGAATTTTAGTTAATCTGAATCCCTAGAAAGAACTTTAATTCTCCCATCATACTTTTCTTGAATTCTTCCTGCATAGACTTAGAGAGTTCTTTACAAAGAGTAGCATTAGTAGAACTAAGAATAATATCATCAACATAAAGTTTCACAACTAAGGTATCATTTTTTAATGTTTTAAAAACAAAGTTGTATATACTTTCCCTCTTGTAAAACCATTTTTCAAAATAAAATGTCTTAGTCTTTCATACCATGCTATAGAAGCTTGTTTCAGACCATACGAAGATTTCTTAAGTTTGTAAACAAAATCTGGATTTTTGTGATTTTCAAAACCAGGAGGTTGATGTACATAAACTTCTTCTGTAATGTAGCCATTCAAAAAATTCACTTTTAACATCCATATCATAAATAATGATGTTATGATTTAGAGCAAAGGAAATTAAGAGATGAATATACTCTAACTTGGCCACTAGTGCAAAGGTTTTAGTATAGTCAATTCCCTCTTGTTGACTATAGTCTTATGCAACCAGTCTGACTTTGTTTCTTACCACAT